CTAGCTTCAATCAGCGATTTTGCTCGCATTCCCGTGGTATAAAAAGTAGCCTACGTATTAATCCAGATCATAGTCTACCCCTGTTACAAATTCCATCGCAATCCCTTCAGCTCTTTTGACGTGAAGGAGTGACAAGCACTTTCTCATTTCGTTTTTCTCATTTATAATATTACTAGCTTCTACCCGCGACTTCGAACGCGCAATCCCGTTTTCTCCCGTTCCCGTAGGATTTTACAGGATTTTTTCTATCTTAAAAACCTTTTCCTAATAATAACAAATACAACAAAAAAAGAATTAGTGAAATCGGTCCAGCCATTCACGCGTGATGCCGTGACCAAGGGAAAAAGGGATTCATTTTTATATATGTATATAGATTAGTAGGATAGGCGTAGGTGAATATCTATAGCATCCCTCACATCGTCACTTCAACAATGTGTGCTATCTAGAAACCCATTGCTATACCAGATCGAAGTAATTTGTTTGAAATGCCCGCATGCTGGGCTAGTATTCTGTGGTAAGGTTAAATCTACAAGCCAGACAGTGAACTATTGACTTGGGAGATTCACTCTGTTGGCTTTGTGGACTTTACACTTCGTTGTTAACACATAAAATGCGAAATAAATGCTTGAGAATTAACACGCAAATCAGTTAGAACCGGGAATGCGGGACTGTTGATGCTTGATACCTAAATATGAAACATACAATCACACACATACACAAACACACACCATTATGTGTTTTTCTCATGACTGAAAACTGAGATGTTCAGCTTTGATCATGAATGAAGCAACATTCAATTAGATTTGTAAATAAGACATTTCTTTGTGGTAGTGGTAGATTTAGAAGGTTCCATGTCAAAACTACTTAAACTCACACATATCTTATTACAAATTACTTGCTCTTTCCAACTTAAGATAACATGAAAACAACTCAAATTATCCATCCATAACTTATCCTGTAATACTTGAGATTACATCAAGTTGAGGGATGTATCATAAAGCTTTTATTCTGCAAAGGAATTCCTCTGACGGCATTGTTTACAAGGTAACCGTTTGTTTTGTACAATATACGTATAAACGTCGAGAATAAATTAACGGGTACAAAGGGTACTTTCAACAGTTTGGCGTATGAAACAATTATGTGGAATTACTGCCGCAAGGTTTCTCCTACATCAATTATTTGTCGGTTAAATAGGAAATTTATCGGTGGAAATTGTGTTGTTGGTTTACTACTCAAAGTATATGTTTACGAGTAACATTCAAGGGAAATTTAGTTAGATTGTGGGCCCGAACTGACTTCCTCATTGGGCTTGTGGTCGCAAGTGCGACTGCCGGGGGTCTCGGGTTCGATTCCCGGATCGGGCACACAAGTATTTTCTCCTGTGTCGTGGGTGCGCTTACAAACACACAAGTTCACATACACATGACGACCAGACCCGAAACAACAATTTATGGATCACACAAACAGTTGCTCCGTGCGGGAATCGAACCTGATACACGTTGCGCGGCAGCCAACTACCGCAACTTGCCCAGCTACCGCACCAATTGTGCAGTCAAAATATCAATTTGTTTTAATTAAGCATCTACCATACTCAAATAGTTTGTATTTGTTCAATTACTCAAACGTCACTCAAAGGGCATTGATTAAAATTGGTGCCTTTCTTTTTTCTGGCGGCAGTCGATGATTTATGGAAAATATTATCTAGAATGACATTACAAACGAAATTGTCTATGGGCTTATATATGGAAATCTCAGTCTGGACTGAGTTATGAGCGTTGAAATGATTTGTATTCTAACATTTTACTTCGGTTTTTTATTCAAATTATTCATAGTTTTGTCACAATTTTTAACTTCAAATTGCGCGCCACTGTACTCCGGGCACAGGAAAACCATATAACACCACAATATATTCATATTGCCAGGCACTCATTTTTATTACCTATTTTCTCTCAGTCGATAGCTTGTGGTATGCTTCTAGGAGTTGTGTCATGAAGCTTCATGAGCGTCAGCTGTGGTACCAGTGGTGGGTTGAGTAGTGGTAGCCGTCCAAACATCTAATAAAGTATATTTTTTTTTGCCATTGACGCGTGGTGGGACACTCATCTACTTAATAGTTAGCATAATCTTTTGAAGAAAGAAAAACGTCGACTTTTAAAGTGATCAGCGCTCTTCAATCCGCTACCGACGCCGCAGCTGACAAACATAGCATTTCATGATAGGGCTCAGTAAAGTATTTTGCGGGTTTTTGACTAAGAGGAAATTGATCATGAAAATCTGTCATAGGCCATAAACCGTATACATATAAGGAACACGGTAGCCAATCAAGCGAGATGTTTCTTTTTCTTCAGCAGTGGTCAATTAATAGTTCACTCTGTTCTGATTCAGTGGCCTCATAACAAAAAAAAAAAAAAAAAATAAGTAAAAAACTCCACAATAAGCTTTATTATATTCCTTGAAATCGTTTATGAACATTAATTACAAAATATTTCTGACGAGTAAATGAAGAAATATGCGTTGTGTACGGTCACCATCAACAAAATTACAGGGATAATATAGCACTATTTTCACATCTTTGAACTGATTTAACTCGATTTGGACTGTGTTTTTGATATAAGGCCCCATAGATTTTTTTGTTTGTAATGTTATTCTGCATCAGTTTTTCCACATCCGATCAACTGCCGCGAAAAAATGAAAAGGCACCACGCTCCATACAAATTTGGTCATTGTCATTTAAGTTGCGTTTTAGTATAGTTCTGTCTCTACAAATTCTTTGTAAAAAGACAGAGATGGCACGATATCGATATGAGTTGTATTTAATACAACTTAAAATTGACCTTTCAGTATACGGGCGTTAGGCTCATACATTACAATATTTCATTATATTTCAAGCATCATTATAATATTCAGACGTAATACTAGTATTGCAGACACAACGTAGCACATAGATAAAAGGATTAAAACACAACTTCTGCAAAACAGTACTTACATAACTAAGATATACATAATATGTAAATACACAATTGCATAGTTTTATTGGCAGGTGGCAGGTAGATTTATTTATTTATTTATTACCACACTTAACCTAATGTGACAGAGAAGCTACTTACATTAAACAAAACATGCAAACAAAGTTAACTCGTCGAGTACCGTCATTATAGACACAATTATAGAACAATAGGTTGCGGTCACCGGTGACCGCTTGGTGTTTGACAGTTTAATAATAACAGAATTCTTAGACAAAACATACATACCAGCAAGATATGACGTAGATGAAGTACTAAGGAGTACTACTTACTTTTATTTTGGAAAAATTTGAAACAAAAAATACGTTATTACTTAAAATTCATATTCTACGCGGACACAATCGCGGGCAACAGCTATATCTTAAAATAATCACACACCTGAATTATTATCTGCAGACTAAAGAAATCAGCATTCATCTTAAGAAATCAAATAAAATTACATAAAGAAACCACTGAAAATGATAGAAGTGAGTAGACAGAAAATCGTAGACTCACTAACGAGAATTAATAACATAGATATGAATCATAAAATAAAGTACGAAGACCAATGTAATTTCATTATGTGGCCTCAAAAGGTTCAATAGAAGACTGAGATCTCACGTTTTGTCCATTAATTCATTAATATGACGTATTTAATTGAAATAAATTGCAGTAATGTATTGTAGAGGATTGTTCTCTGTAAATTAATTATTACTTTGAACTGCAATTGAAAATGTATGAAACATGTATTGTATTCTAATATTTAATGCGTTGGCTATTACGTTGTTTTACTTTTCAAAATTCGAATGATAAAGAATGGAAGCTATGTCGTTGTCGAGTTTATGTTACACCGTAATTGAATTACTTACCCTTTCACGATTCTGTACAATTAGGTACCACTCACAACAATCACAGATTATTTTACAACTGTTTTTAATATTTGTAGGTATAAAAATGTCAGTAGAACGTAAGTAACGTAAGTAAGTAAACGAAACGCAAAATTCATATACGCGCCTAATAATTAGCAAAAATTAAAAATGATATTCAAATTAAATCTGAGTTCTTTTTTCAAACGCGCTAAGATTCTAAGTGGCCAGTTTGTAATAAGGTCACACACACATACACCTACTTATACAGTCTTTTTACTGCGTTCTTTTTTTAAATCTAAGAAAATCAATTAACTCTGTTAATTGATTTTCCTAGATTTAAAACTAAAATTTACCCATCAAAATAAAATAGTTACAAGATAAAAGATACCAATTCATCTGAAAAATAGGTCGTACCTCACAGAAAGGTCATGGGATGTCCTCGTAAGCTTCAATTATCTGTGGGTGATGACGTCATAGTGTCACCAGCCTTGTAATGGGGTTTAACTGACGGCTGGCGCCTGTCTCGACTTCGAACTAAGCGGTTTTAATGGAAGATTTTAGTTAGCAGTTTGTTTTTTCTCTTTTTATTTATTTGTGTCTATATAAATATTTCTTTATGACTTAGTTATATAAATATTTTATGTAGTTGGGGGTAACATTCTACAAAATTAACAGTATAACTGCAATTTATAATAAGTAAAATTTAATCAATTTAACATCGTTTTAATTTCTCTCTCGAATGCAATTTGCTTGCATTCAAAAGTCATCATTCGAATGATGACTTTTGAATGCAAGCAAATTGTGACTATTCTCCTTGGATCGGATTTGATTCTAAGTATATTAGCCAAAGAGCAAAAGATGATGCTTTGATTTATGGCTAATTTGTAGTTTTAGGCTTATCATTCAATATTGTATCCACCAAACAGACGAAAATAACCATACCGCCTATATATAATTAAGTTGCATATTTTATGTGATACGCATTCACAATGACTCGACAGAGCATTTCCATTAATTTTCCACTGAATACATAACTTTAGATACCTAAAACTTGTCTAAGCTAACCTCGACACACATCAGTTTCCAACAAGATGAACAATAAAATATATTGCAGGAGACATTATTAATAATGGTGGTTGTCTCCTGTCTAGACGATATCCTTGAGCTACTACCAAACAGAATTATGCTAAGGGTTAGCAAATTCTAGAAACGTTATTTGAAATTGAGATGAAGTTTTTTGTAACAATTAAATATTAATGGATTGATCTTGTTTATGATTGTTTTTATTCGATTTTCAAATCTTTTTGAACTAATAAGAATGTTTTCATTTCTTAGTATTATGGGGCATAGTGAAGTATGCGCTATTAGGGTTAATTTTCTAATTTTCTCTTGAAGTTCTTACACTGAAATGATACCGGAATCATCGTAAGTTATCCTAGCCTAGCTTTACTGACGAACAGATTGAAAGACTATTATTTATTTTGTATTTGTTGACATTTCGATAAGTACCAAATGATGGTTTAATTGAAATATATGCTTTTGAGTTTGAGTTTGAATTATTATAGTAGCAATAATTATAAGTAGTATATTATTGGGCATTCTATACCACTATCGGCAAGTCGCTCGGCGAGTGCGCCTCGCTGCCGATAGTGGTATAGAACGCCCAATAATCGATACTCGACTCGACTCTCTACTCGACCGATAAACTCGAACGGAACAGTTCATTGTGTAGCG